TGTCGGATCAATTAAATTTGAAATGGGGAGGACAACTGTTGGTCGGATTCTCTTCGGTAGTGTGTTGGCCAAGTTATTTATATGATGCCAAAAATATTTTCAATGGGCTGGTGCTCAACTAAATGTTCAAATTATGCATTCAAAACAATATTTATTTGCCCCCAGTTTTCGAATCATTTGGCTGCGTGGCCAAGTTTCCTCGGGATGAATCAAAGTTCAAGGACGTTTTCCAGCTGGCCACAAATTACGAATATTTAATATTTTCCTTAAGGTTGAACCTCTTAAAAGGTCATTCTTGAATTATTAAAGACTTGGCCAAAAAACTACAGCTGAGGGCACGTCAAGAAGAAAGGGGCGTTTCTATTACGGAAAATTATGGGAATCGGAACTGAAAAATATGTAATATAATAAAGGAAATGTGACGTGCCTGGTTATCTTATCTTTCAACACCCGTTCTCGCCTGACACTCATAAATAATCTAAACAAAATAAATTGCCAGCAGGCGATTTTTCCGTGGTTATTCCAATTGATGATATTTGCGTCTTATTTGCTAATTAATTATCAATTTTATGTGACAGCATGGGGACTCCAGATAAGGGATCTTACAATGGAGAGGGTACATAAATGTTTCAATCTTGCGCATTTGTTTCCAAATCCCCCCATCCGAACGAACCCGAAACCCCAAATGGAAAAACTCTCGAGTTGGCGACGCAAATCGAAATGTAAACCAAAGTGCGCCTTGGTATCCGCTTTCATTTGCGTCGCATTACGGACGGACTCTGACATAAGCGGTTTCTGAACACGAAATCCGTATCTGATAGGTATGGAATTGAGCTGCAGTTGGGAGTTCAAAAATTCAAAACCAATTTGAGAAGTATCTTCTGGATAGCACCTGCATTCCAGCAGAGAATCGAACCAGATACCGGCGACTTGTTGGCACGTGGCACTTGGGAATCAATAGACTGGACCTTGGGCTTGATTGCTGTTTTCTTTCGATCAATTTTGTTTTGGTTCGGTTTTTTCCGGTCCTCCTCTTGAGCAATTGAATAACATAAACAAGAAAGCCGAGCCAACGGACCACCGGATAGGATTACATGGTTAAAAATACATAAGTATTATATTGAACGCCCCAAAGCCCCTTACAGCAGAGCCCCTTAAATAATACAATGTTTTGTTTTTGTGTATTAATTTTTTATAGAAGTTCTGTTAATTTATTTTGTTGCAGTTAAAACAGTTCAATCTTAATTAATGTTTTAAAGCCCAACAATGAAAACCGAAAGCCGTAAGACGATTAGCCTAAAATGCCAGTCTGATATTTCCCGGGAAAACAAAATAATATTTATATTAGATTAATAAAATTAAAAACAAAAACTGGCTCAAGTCCCGCCGGGCATTACATCATGGCCCGGTGGGATCTGAATCAGCTTATACCCTACGAAATTCGAGTGAATCGCTTAGGATTTTAGGGTCCTTTTCTACCAAAACAAGTACTACGACAAAAATCTAGGATTGCATTATTTATGTGTGTGTGTTGAGTGTGGTTTTGTGGATTTGTGTTTATGTGCTAAGTTCTATAATGTGTTATCTAAATGGGTAGTACAAAAATATATATATATATGTATATATTTATATATTACAGCTAAGTAGTCGTCTAGATGCCGAGCAGGCACTCCCCACCAGCGTCGGGAGCAACGGCTGCGGCATATTCCGCTGGCTACGCCTGCGTCACAAAGTACACCTCGCCGGAGGAGCCAACGACTACAGCATGGTCTCCTCCGCCCGCGGATGACGTCAACGTGGTGCCTTGGCTGGCGGCGGCGATCATAGAAGACATATCCGTCCCATTTCTTACGATACTAACGGCTCCGCTGAAGGCGGACGAGCCATCGTCCTGGCCGCTCGCCTGCACCTCGGCGCTGTGATCCGTCGTCTCTACGTGCTGCTGCAGAACGTCCACATTGTCGTAGACGGAGCCGCATTCGCCGCACTTGAACAACGGCTCCAGGACCTCTGGATGCTTGCGCTCCACGTGCCAGCGCAGATTCACGGCCGACGAGAAGTTCTTCCTGCAGTTGGCCACTCCACAGCAGTAGGCTCGTTGCTGGTGCGTCTGCCGGTGTCTGTAGAGGATCGCCTTGGACTTGAAGGTGCGATTGCAGATGGTGCACACCGGCGTGCTGGTCTCGGCGTCGTGCGTTTTCATGTGCATCCGCAGCATTCCCGGGCCCTTGAAGCTCTTCAGGCAGATCTCGCACTGCGGCTGCTTCTTGCAATTGGCTCGGATCCAGTTGGTGTGCGAGTGCATGTGGTTCTGCAGGCCTTTGAATTGCCGGAACTCGGTGTTGCACAGGTGGCAGATGTAGCGCCCCGAGCCCAGAGGGGAGGTGTGCTGCCGAATGAATTCCGTGACCAGATTGGCGTCTATTTCGTAGTTGTCGTCCGCTCCAGCGGCAGCGATCACACTGGCCGTCTGCACCAATTGCCGAGAGTTTGCCGCAGCCAGCTTGCTGTTGATTGCCGGACCTGCCGGTTGGTGGTCACACGGCTCCAGAGTAACTCCAGCAGCGACAGCTACCCCGGCCGATGACTGATTGCCTCTTTTGGCCCGTTTTGGAGTGGGACTCTCAGAACTAACAGTTAGGGTGGGGGCCACCAGCGCGTCCGTTGTGGTGTTGGCCTGACTAAACTCCACAACCGCATTTTCTAACGATATGCTCTGCAGCTCGACATGCTCCTGATGCTGCTGCTGTGCCTGCTGGTGCTGGTGAAGTTGGTCAGGTTCGAGGAAGGCTTGTTCGATGTCTGCACTCGCCTCGCCGTCCGGGGGCTCCATGATGGCGTACTGCAGATCGTCGTCGACGTCACCGGACAGATTCGGATCCTGGTCATCAGTTATATACTCGCAATCCGGACTGATGGCCCCACCATCCGGATCGTCCAGCATGTCCTCGTCCTCCAGCTGAATAATAAAGGTATCTTCTTCCTCTTCTTGTTTCAGATGCTCCGATTCGTCCACCTCGTCCATCACCTGTTGGTTGTCCAGGTCATCAAAGTACTCGTGTTCTTGGGCTTCGCTCTGGGAAAGATCCTCGTCGATCATCACTTGGTGCTGATCTTTAAGGAATTCGTGGTGCTGTTCATCGTCCAAGACAATGGTCTCAAAATTATGCCCACCCTTTCCGTCCAGCTGATCGTACACCTCGTCCATATCCTCGTCCTCTACCTCGCAACCGTCCTCCAGTAATTGGACATCGGCCTCCGCCAGGGAGGTACCGGGATTTTGGGACAAGTCTGCAGTGGCCGAGGCCGTGCCCAACGCCCCAGTCACTCCAGCTTGTGCCAGACTCCGCTGGGGCACGAGTTGGACTAGCTGCAGCGTCTGGGTGCCATTCGGCTGCTGCACAAACTGCAGGGTTTGGCCACCCGGCGTTTGGAGTAACTGGGGCAGGAACGAGGATTGTGCGGCACCGGCTCCATTGGCCGTCGCCTGGGGAGCCGTGCTTATGATTTGTGCTAGCTGTGGCGCCACAATCTGCGCCGTTGTGATGATCTGGCCGTTGGGTAGCAGAATCTGCTGGGGCAGTGTCGTGGTGGCGGCAGCTGTGGACAGGAGTTGGGTGGGAGCAGGCTGAAGCGTCGGCAACTGGATCTGTTGTATTTGCTGCTGAAGCGTCGCTGGCTGTTGCTGTGGTGGGGGCGTTGGTTCTGGAAGGATTTGCATTTGGGGCTGAGGGGCGGGAGCTGCCTCCAGCTGCCGCTGCTTGTGCTGCCGCGACCCTTTCTTGAGTAGGGGCTTGAGCTTGGGCTTGGGCTGTATCGGCTGCTGGTGGTGCTGCTCAATGAGCTGTTGCTGATGCATCTGCTCCTCTAAGAGCTTCTGTTGCTTCTGAAGCAGCTTCTGTTGCTTTCGCTCCTGCTGCTGCTGCTGTTTGGCGTTAGCAGCTGTTTGTTGTTGTTGCTGCTGCTGCTGCTGCTCCTCCATGACCAGGCGCACTGTCAGTCCCTTAATGTACTCGCGCAGTTCCTTGTCGCTGCGCTCGACGAGCGTCTTGAAGGCGTGATTCCGGCTGACGGCATGAACACACTGCACACAGATCTTGTCCGGCCATCCCTCGGTGGGTTCTATCCGCACGCTGGTGCAGTCCATCAGCATCTCTGGTACCTTTTCGCTGAACAACGGTCGCATCTCTTTGCGCTCCGAGATGCACAGGCGGCAGATCTTGTCCAGGTTGAGGTCCTTCTTGCGATCCATCGTTGGGTGTGGTGCCCTCTCCCTGTGGGTTGCTTTAAAAAGAACTTGTTAGCTGTGTGGCGGACTGTGGCAGGTCCCCGAAAGATGCACAAGTACGGCAGCTATTAAATCGCATCGTTTCCGCGCCAATTTCCGGCAATTAAACTCGGATTAGTCCATCAGCTGTTGATAACAGCTTTTTGATAATAACAGTCCTGTAAGACAAATTGGCACAACAAGCGGCTATGCAACACTGGCTCTTGGCCAGACGGAGACAGCTATATTGTTATACACAATTTCCCATCCTTGTATTGGTGCGAGCGAAAAATCATATTTTCGATCCACGAAACGAAACATTAAGGACTTTGATTGCGATTTGGCTCACTCCCGCACTTTGTGCACCTTTAATGGGGATATTGCTTCTGGTTATTAACACCCGATAGCTGCTTACCTGCGCTGTATTTATATAATATTCACAGCTAGCCCCACAGTCAACACACAAAACTCTTCAAAAATGGCCGCGTCACAAAAAATTTCTTGCAAAAATCACATATTTAGCGTCCATCCGGATCGTACACACCACTGATAAGGGAACCAAAACAAGTGCCACACCAGTGGGTCGTATTGGGTCAATTAGAAGGAAATAACTAGCTGTTTGTCTCGGATAGAATTAATAAATTCGGTGAATGAATTTCACTGCCAGCCGCGTCTGTCTTTTTCGTGTGTGAGTGAGATAGGCGTGTTGCCAACCCCAGGGCTGCAAGCTGGCTGCCAGCAGAAAGGCACTAACGCATGCTTTGTTTATCACTGCGAGTGGCGGTCTACGAGGTGACGAACTCTCTTTTGTTTACAACCAAAAACTTTGCTTAAGAACCATTATATTATATTTAAACTTTAAGAAAACTTTAAAGCAGCAAAAAGAAGAATTACCTGGATGTTTATTTTCAATCCATCAGCAGCATGGGTAGGTGGAACGGGGATCCTTTGTAAATGTTGGTCTTTGCAAATTAGTTTCTAAAGAGTATTTTCATTGGAAATGTATTTTTGCAAAGAATACATCACTTGGTTTATTTCAGAAATAAAAACTGGACATTTTACACCAATATTGCAGCGGTTACCAAAGAACAATTAAAAAATAAAAGGAATTGGCAAAGGAACTGCCAACTCGTTCAAGTGAACTGACATTTCAGGTGAGAGGAGCACCTGTAAGTTTGTTTTTTGAGTCCTAAGATTATGGGATTTATTCTGTATTTTTAGGCTGGTGCAGGGACGTTTGTATTAGCTAGATTATACTGTTGCCGCTGGCCATTTTTGCAATGCTGCCGGCGTATTACAACATAGATGCCAAGCACCACGATGAAGGCCACCAACAAGGATGTCACCACAAACCATCCGTAGAATCCCGACTCCTCGTCGTCGGGGTCCTCCTGGGCATTCTCCCACTCTGTAAAGTTGCCAGTGGATCCATCCTTTAGTTTGGCGGCTTTGGAGTCCTGGAACAAGGATGCCTTGACCAGATTATTTGACTCCGGCGCCGAAAAGACTGGCTCCGTGTTGTCAATCCTCACGAACGTGATCTGTCCACCTTTCATTGGTTCCTTGTAGCGCTTCAAGCCATAGCCGTAGTACTCGTAGATGTCGGCCGAGAACTGGCGGTGCTGGTCCACCCACTGCCCAATAACCTGCACCTTTACCTCACTCCGAGGATCCATGCTGCGCCCGAAGTAGGCCTTCTCCTCTACGTCTATACCGCCCACGCCGTGCTCATCGAGCTGCAGCACCGAACTGCGATGCTCTAAGAGAAGTGGCAGCCTAGCCAAGTGCTTGTCCTGATATACACTGCTGACATTCAGATGGATCTTCTCCACAAAGGCGTAGTTGAGACTCCCATAAATGGGCTTCTTTTCGCTGCCCGGATTCCGGAGCATACTTTCGCCCAGTTGCATTTTATAGCTGTTGGAGACGTTGCGCCATGGCAAGTAGGTGATGTTACGAAGCTGGTGCATGAGGGGTTCCAGTTCCACCAAGACATTTATGTTGTCCTCCAAGCCGTACTATAAACAATAACTTATGGTTAATACAATTTTCAAGAATATCTCCAGAAACTCACAAAGTTATCACCAAATATCATAACCACACAGGTGAACAGGTTGTCGGAGACGGCATTGACCAGATCCGTGTGCCGGAAATGGCACAGTTCCGTCTTCTCGCGCTCAACATTCGTGGCCTTCGCTATGTAGGTGAGCCGTTCCTTTGGATTCAGCTCGGCGGCATAGTACTTCAGCACCATGTCATACGGCACCCACGATAGCACCGAACTGGCATTATTCGTACATATATCCGACTGAGAGCCACGCCCACTCAGCTCACCGTTGCGAAGCCGAAGGAAGTGATGGTTGTCGCGTCGGATCGTCGTAGATCCGTGATCCGCACACAAGGTGTCCACGAGGCTCGCCTACGGATTAGTCCAGATAAAATTATCAAGGAAATAGGCAGGTACGAACCGGGTGTTCCGGCGGTGGTCTTATCGGCGGCCTGCTTGCATTATCTTCTATATTGTCTGTTTCTTTATCTTCGAGCTAATTCAATTTGGTATATCAGCCACTCGAGGTGGGCACACGAATGATTTATGGCTCATTGGCATTGGATTTCTCACTTAAGGATTTGGATGAAGCAAACTCGTTTCAACGCCATTTAAGGAGTTTATACCCAAGGTCGCCTCTGACAAAAACTGACGGCAAATCAGAAAAAACTGATCACTAAATGGGGAGCCCACTTATCACAGTTCCTTTCGCTCTCGATTAAATTAAACCACTAGAACCCACGGAACCACGCACTTAAGATTACCAACCTTCTCCTTGAGAGTCAGTGTGGTGGCCTTAATATGGCACTGCAGATCCTTCTCGGTGGGAATAACCACATGCCTATCTATTTGCGATAGGAGGAGAGGCTCTGTATCGATGCAGAAGTGCGGATGCTCTTCGAAGGCAGTGCCAACCGCCAAAAGAGCTAGACATCCGATGGTGACTTGCAAAAACATTTCCGCAGTGGTTGGGTTTCGTTAATGCAGCGGAGCCGTAGTCGCAGCCGATGCGCGCACCTCGGTTGACAAGTCGTCACTGAATTTCTGAAACCGAGAACTGGGCAACGGCCTATGCTTAATCGGACGCATTCAACTTGACCGCCAGCCAATATCACCATATTTATCTATTGATGAAGGATTTGGCCGAGATTCGGTTCGATTTTGGGTAACAGCCGTCCCCGAAACGTCACCTCACCGCAATGCCAGCGAGTGAGTAACGATTGGGGCCAATTCTTTCCTAACTTGGGAGTCCCGAAAACCGTGCGATAAGATAATACGAGCTACGAATCCGATTAGTCCATGCTGCCACATTCTGTGGATTGTAAATAGTATCGTACTTATACTCGGCATAGCCAATAGGTATGCAATTTATTAATAAAAATTTAAATCTAAGTTTCTTTTATTGAATTTTTATAACGATTTTACAATTGGGCTTCTTTTAATTGTTGCAGCAAAAGTTGCCACTCTAATAAGTATGTTTGTACAGAAAAAAATTGTTGAACAATTTTCAGATTTGATTCTCACAGTCGACATTTCCATGTTATCATCATGCATTCCCAGTCAACGCACCTCTTCCTCTGGCTATCTTCTTAATTTGTACAAAAAATCAACGTAATTTAACTGTAACATCTTACGGACTACATCTATAAAAACTAGCAAAGATTGGCGGCGTCTCTCTCCTGTGGATAACAAAGATCATGCGAGACGACACTAGAGAAGACGGCACAGTGGATAACAGGATAACAATGGAGCAGTGGATCGTTGGAGCGGTGGTGGAGTTGGAGGCAGAAGTGGTAGTAGTAGTATTGAAGTAAAGTGGACTCAATCAATCTAAGGAAGGAGAAAATACAAGTCGTACACGAACAGAGGAAAGAGTACTTGAGTTACCGTCACCACTGCTGCCGAAAAAGTCTATGCTATCATCGGTGTCGTCCCCGTCGCCGTCTCCGTCGCCATCTCCGTCACCGTCCCCATCGTCGTCATCATCCATATCCTCGTCATCGGAGCTGATTAGGTCGCTGTCGGAATCTGGTCCGTCCAGAACCCAATCACCTTCGAGAAGGCCCGGGGCGTGGCGGTACCGCAGGCTACGTGGGAAAGGTCCGGCTAAAAAGGAGAGCATTATTTCAGAGTCAGGTAATGAGGTTCTTCTGACTTACGGTTCTCCGAGTCCGTGTCCGAGCCCTCCTCATCAGATTCGGGCACCTCCTCCTCATCTTCCTGCAAGCATAGACAGAATATTAAGTTCAATATCATCCATCTGCCGCATGAGAGTTCTCAGATCGATGGCAGCGCCGATGCCACCATTGATATTCAGATTGAGACTCCCGCCGTTCCCGTTGCCATTGCCATTGCCGTTTCCGCCCAGAGTACGTGGCCGCCGTCGCACGCCAACAATTGAGCTGTTGGATGCATGTGGGCGCATTATATTCGGACTGGCGTGCAAGGCAGGACTCTGTCGACGGAGTATATCCAACTCCTCGAAGTCCGGGATCTCTGGCGCGGGCTGCTCCTCAAAGTCACGCGGTAAAGGAGCCCCCGCACCACCGCCGACAACGTCGATTGCGTTTAAATTAATGTTCCCAGGTGCCGGCGCAACGGCGTCGGCCACCTCGCTTGGCAGCTCTATAACCGCACGCACCTCTTCCGAACGCTCGCTCTTCTTCACGCCCACCGCATAGATCTTCACGTAGGTCTCCTGCTTGGACTCGTAGCCGCTGTAGTCTTCCACAACGGCGATCAGGCTTCCATTGGCGCTCACGCTCAAATCGTTGATGTGGCGCTTCACGTCGATGGTAGCAATGCTGGAGTAATCGTACGCATCCAGCACATTAAAGCTGGTGTCGTACGTAGTTTGCTCCATGTCATGATCCCTATCCGCCCCCAAGCTTGCTCCGTAGATCACATGCATCGGCGAGAAGGTGCAGTTGCGCTGATCCAACACTGGCACAGTTTGCAGCAGATGGAACGTGCGCAGATCCCACACCTCTGTATTCGCAATGATCTGTAAAGGGAAAATGTTTCAAACAATTAAAAGTTCGTCTCTTGGTCGCATACTCACCTCCAGGCAGTTGGGATGGAAGACTCCTGAAATACATTGATTAAACTTGTCGAACTTGTGGATCTCCTTTCCAGAACGCACGTCCCACAGCACACCATCTGTAGTCAAATGTGGATAAAACTATGGTATGGACTGGTCTTTTATGGAAGACTTACCTGATAAAATTAACTCATCTGTCCGACACAGGGTAGCTCTATTCTTGGTGTACAAATTCGGGATTGTGGGAGTGAATGTGGACACCTTGGAGCCTGTGTTTATGTCGAATAATGTAGCGCACTGTCGAGATTGTGAAGAAAATTATAAAAATATATAAAATAATAATATTTTTTTGTTAACCCACCTCATTCTGAGTGCCCAGAAGACGATCCTGCGCCGTCTGGCTAAATTCGCAATAGGTTACATCCGGCAGACGAAGCTTTTGCTTAAACTCATTGTCCGCAATGGACCACAGGATGCTGGTTGGGGTCCGCCAGAAGCTGGAGGTTATCACAAGATCGCCGGCTCTATTCGCCTTGATAGCATCTACACTGAAGTTGTGGCAGTTGGAAAAGAACTGCTCTACACCGTCGTTCATATTGAACACCCGTCCATCTCCCTGCTGGGTTCCCACGATAATGAGCTTGCCCACCAGGTCACAGCAGGTGAACTCCAGGTCCTCGTAGTCCGCCGATCGAATGGTGCGCCAGGGCGAGAAGTGGGTGTGCACGTAACGCCGGTCAAAGCGGCTGGTGTTGAAACCAGCCTGGGTTCGAGCATGGCGACTGGTCAGGTTATAGTTAGAGCTGAGTAGCCGACTCGGCTTGGGATCTGGGCACTTGTGGGGCTCGAACAGATCGAACTGCGGACACGTGGTCACCGGATTGTTGCACAGCGAGTGCTGGTTAGTTAGGTACTCTGTTACGATAGTATTTAAAGTGATCCGCTTAGGCGCCCACTGGCCTTCCTCCGGCAGACCCACTGCCAGATTAGCTCCAGGCTCCAGCATTTGCTTTTGAATCGAGCGACTCACAGAGTTCACGGAACGATCAGTTCGCCGGATCTTTATTGGTGTTTGGCTGGAGTTAAGAGACAAAAAATTGGGTATGCTGGCCAACTCTCCCTGGTGGCTTGTTCCTGCCCCTCCTCCAGGCGCTGGCGAAGATTCCTCGCCGAAGCTTCGGTTAAACTCTCCGTTGCTCATTATCGCCGCATTCACATCCTGCATTCGGCTGCGCAAGCGGTTCCTCGACAAAGACAAGCCGCTGCTACTGGGCATGGTCTTGTAATCGAATGGCGACTGATGAAAGCTGCGAGTGGTTGGTGTTTGCAGTGGGAGACCCACCTCCCGCTGGAGCATCTGAGCCGTTTGCGACAGACCATTGCTCTCCAAGTGCTCGAAGATGAGTTGGTAGAGCTGCTGCTTGTTGTAATGGATGCGGGTCTGGGCAATCACGTTCGCCTTGTGCATGTTGGAGAGGGAGGGATCCAATGGATTGTTAAGTGGCTTCGTCTTGCCGGAAATGCGCTCCAGAAGCTCTAGCGCGTACTTTTGGAAGATCACATGCTCCGCACGCTTCTCCTGCAGTATGGGGTCTCGCATCAGGACCTGCAGCTGCCCTCCTGCGAAGAGGGGAAGCTTGCTAACTATCTGTCTGACTCGATCCGAGCGTGCTAATCCAGCCAGTGCCCGGCAGGCCATTCCCCGAATGCAGTCCGCATCGGTGATCGGTCCTTTGGTTTGCATGAGCGACAGCAGCACTACGATACCGTTGTTGGAACACACCGACTCCCACACGCGCTCGATCAGCTCCTCCGCGAATTTGGTGTTGGCCTTGTTTTTCCTCGAAGAGTTTCCAAACTTGATCACACTGCTGCCACTATCCTTGCGAATGATTGGCGAGCAAACACAATGACAGAGTACTGCCAGTGCGGATTTGATAACTTCCGCATCGGAGGTGATTTCTCCGGCTGCTGCTCCCAAAACGGAGCAGAATCCCGAAGTGGTTGTCTTGTCCAACATCTGTAGCCGGTCACAGAGCACGCCGAAAACGCGAGGTATCACACAGCAGACGCTAATCACGTCCAGAGCGGAGCGGATAGTCTCTGATCGTCCGCTGTTAACCCAATCGTAGCTGAAGGCGATTATACGGAGCAGCATGCTGATTCCTCCAAGCTTCAGAAGTTGATCCACTGGTTGCCAGTGGGCCCGGATGGAAGTGTGCTCCTGTAGAGTTCGTATTTGGTCGTGCAGCTGGTCGAATGTCAGCTTAGCGGCCACTGTAGGATTCTGGCTGAAGAAGTGGCTCGAGGATGCGGCGTAGTGCTGGCATAGGAAGCTGTTGTACTTGTAGAAGAAGTGTGCCTCAAAGTAGCGCTTAAGGGCGACGCACACATGGCGCACCATCTGGCGGGAAGCACATTCCACGTCCTCGTTGATCTCAGAGTCATTATCGCTGTCGTTGTGGCTCGGATCAAGGATCTTCAGAACGGAGATCTAGAATACGATTATAAAGAGTGAAAGATTTCCGCATTTCAAAATCCTCATACTTACCACATTGTAGAGCTTCCGCAGCCCATCCTGCGCATCAAACTCGTCCAAGATTACCTTGAACTGGAAGCTCAGGCTGAAGAACATAGTGGCATGGCACTTGGAGGAGTCGTGACACCGGCCTAAAATCCAAAGCGCATAGCGCACGAGCTCAGAGATGAGTGGCCGCTGCATGCTGCAGATTCGCTCCATGGCATCCTCGCAATATGCCAAGTAGTATATTGCAATAGAGACACCAGTGGTGGCCAAACTAGGTCGCGGCACTTTCAATAAGATCTGTACGAAAATATAAAAGTTGTCAGATGGAAGTAGTAGTATACTAAGGTCAGGAGTGACGTACCTCTAAGCCTCCGCTGGATATAAATTCCAGGGCGAATTTCTTGTGACAAAGCAAGGATGCCAGATACTTTAGCACCTCAAAGGCAAGGCACGTGTCCCTCCGATCGAGGTTCTCCAGGTAGCCAAAGATCAACTGCATCACATTGTTTTCGAAGGCCATGGCTAGGAACTCCTGGTACTCGCCCAAGCTAGTTACGAAGCGCATTATCAGCATTTGGCTGGTGTCCGCTGTGGGCGGATGCAAAGGAATGTACATTCGTTTGTAGAAACGAGACACGGAAAAGGCATCCCTACTATTCTCAAACAGAATGGACATATTGGAGGCATCGCCATGGACGGAGGAGCTCGTCCCCACACCACTGCCATTGTGCTGCGGAGATTGAGGGGCGGAGGCGTTGCTGGCACAGGCCATCCAACTTAGCATCCCGGAGGCAGAACTGTCTGCCGATTGGTTATGCGACGAGGTGTTTGGAGCATCCGCCGCAGCACTCTTGCTAATTGCCAGCAGCATGTGTAGTCGCTTGATCATTTTGGGCACCAGTCGCATATTCTGTTCCCGATAGTTGATCGCGATATCGGTGACTTCCATGGCCTCCGCCAACAGTCCCGTGGCATAGCTCTGTAATGGTTCAATACTGTCCTCCGCCCAGGAGTAGATACGGTTGATAGTGCCATCGTCGACGGCAGACTGGAAGACGGCCGTGGTCTCTAAGCCCGGAATAACTTCAAGAATGAGACGGCAGGCGAGGATGTTCAGTTCCAATGAGCTGCGACTAACATTCTGGCGACTGAAGTAGTTTTCGCGCAGATAGTCATTCAGAAGCTGGGGATTTTAAGGGTTGCAATGAAATGCTATGACTTGGGGATAAAACACTTACCTTGCTCATAAATACATCTCTACGGAAGAGCAGCTTCAACAACAAGCCATACTGGCAGACGGGATCGGCCCTGTAGGGATGGCGAGAGTCCAACGGATCCGGGTCCTTGCGACGATACACGTCATTCTCGCGCTCAAATATTTCTGCCAGACTGTAATGGAAAAAGGGTGTTATTGAAAGATATTCAGATCCCTCTCAGTAAGTAGCCCTACCTTCGCAGAGTGGGGACCGGGTCGTAGCCATTCTGGGTCTGCTGTTGCTCCCACTTGTCAATGATCTGGGTGAGCTCTTTTTTGGTGGCATGTCGCTTGTCGGCGGCGGCAGCTTCCTCGGCATTGCCGTTCGACTCACTCACACTTACACCGTCTTCCTCGCCAGCTTCGCCCGCGGCCTCTTCCTCGCCGTCTGGCGCCCCTTCATCGTTATCCTCGCCAGAATCATCGACAGCGAATTCCACTGCTTCTCCATCCGCGTCCGGCTCAGCCTCTTCCTCTTCCTCGTCGCTTTGGTAAGCTACAGCCACCGCTTCGGCCATCAACGCCGCTTCGGTTGCTGCCTCTGCCTCTGCTGCTGATGGCTGGGCAGCATCAGCCTCACTTCCACTATCCATCGGGTTGTGTGGCCTGGAACTCTAGGCCCTAGTAGCAAAGGGTAAAACGCACAATTAGCTTCGATCCTTGGAGATCCAAAGTGGCGAAAGAAAGCGTGCGGCGGAAAATACCACGCGCTTGATTTTTTTTTGCACAGAACAGAGGGACCGTCCTGCGGCAGGCGAGAAAAGCTGATGACACGCTATCGATAGGGCTATCGTTGCTGGACCACCGCTATTCCAACTGATTGGGATTGTTTTGTTTTGTCGGTGCGAAAATATTTTATCCTGCCGACTGAAGTACACATCATGGGTTTCCTATATATTCTCGGCTGGATTTCCCTGGGCATACAGATCGTGTTCCTTACGTTGTCGATAGGTTAGTTTCCGGCGTAGTTTCTTTACGCAGTGTTCCTTCTTACACGTTGCAATGGATTTTTCAGTGGCTGGCCTCTACTACCTGGCTGAACTGGCAGAGGAGTACACCACGGCGGCGAGGAAGTGCATCCTTGGCTTTATCAGCTTCACCATCTTTGTCTATATAATGCTGATGGTGTTCGAGGATCTGCCGTGGAGCATGATAATATGCGGATTCGTTGCCCAGGGCTTCCATTTGGCCATAATGGGCGGTTTCCCCTTTGTCCGCCTCCTTTCGTTGCCGCTCCTGGGATCGTTGGCCATGTTGGTGGTCAATCACTTCCTGGCTTTTCAGTATTTCACTACCGTCTACGTTCCATTCACGCAGGTGAGAAAAGTGAAATGATTTTGGAAGGGTAGCGGAGGGATTGGGATTCTAAAATTGATTGCATAAAGGATGTGACAGGTGCATGAGCAATGCACCTATACACTTGTATATTGCATAAGATTATTAGACGTCTTTCGCCTTTTTGTTTTAAGTTGTACCACAACTAATGCCCATTTTATTTGCATTATCGATGAAAAGCTCAATTTAATTCTGTATTCTTTATCCAGGTGCTGGCATATTTCACGATTTGCATGTGGATCGTGCCCTTTGCCTTGTTCGTGTCTCTCAGCGCCAATGACAGCGTCCTGCCCACCACCGTCAGCGACCAGAACCGGCGCAGTCCGGACGTGGTCAGCAACTACTTTTCGCGAAACAAAAAACAAGGGCTGCTGTCCCTGTTCCAGTATCTGAAAGAGTCTCTGCTCCCGGGTCGGAGCAAGAAGACCTTCTAAGATTAATCAAGTTCCAATGTTTATTTATTTTTGTAGCCGCATCGAGTATACAGCCGCAAAAGTATACAATGCGCCATGCTAGTATGACATTCGTGATCTGTTTATTTTTGATTGCACTTTATATGCAGCCTAAGCAATATATGTATGTCGGGAAATAAGAATTAAGATGGAGACCAAACAATGATCTTATTTATCTATTTAAATAATATGTGAATGTAAAACGCAACTTTCAAATCATTATGGATTTATTTAAAAAACATTTCCAGGTATCCTTAAGGGTAATAATGATAATAAATTGCAAGGGGAATGCACTGGAGCCGGGCTCCCAAATTTATTAATGAAAACATGTGTACTCCAAACAGTTAACCACTTTCACCTATCTACTTGTTCTGCACCTTGACATTGCCATCGGCCATACCAAAGTAGCACTTATGGGCCATGTTCACGAACAGCCCCGTCTCCATAACGCCCGGAATCATCGTGATGGCCCTGTTCACCTCATCCCAATCGTATTCCCGGTTGGCAATGAACTTCCAGTCCAGTAGAAAGTTTCCATTATCCGTCACAATAGGACCCGCCTTGACCTTGGCCATGCGCAGAGATGCCTCGCCGCCGAACAGAGCCTCGATCTGTAGCTTGATGGGCACGTAGGCCATGGGGGCCACCTCGATGGGTACACCGCGGCACCACTGCTCACCTAGTCTGATTGAGTTTTTGGTGTAGTCGGCCACCACGATGAAGTGCTTGGCGCAGGAGGCCACTACCTTTTCCTGGAGCAAGCAGCCGCCACCACCCTTGATTAACACCATGTGACTGTCCACTTCATCAGCTCCATCGATGGCCACATCGATGTTGGGATTCCGATCCAGATCGCCCAGGTTGAGATTGTAGTCCAGGATCAAGTGATGCGCCTGGTAGGACGAGGGCACGCAGATGAGGTCCGTCAGTTCACCTTCCTTCCACACGCGCTCAGCAATGCGCTGCACGGCGTACACGACGGTGGAGCCGCTACCGATGCCCAGGATTTTGGTGTCCTCAGTGACCCACTGGTCCACAGCCGTGCGTGCGGCCCTCTTTTTAGCAGCGTCTACAGCGATTTCCTCCATTCCGCGAGTTTGTAAGTACAGTACAGACGCCCTGGAGATGAGATTTTGTTTGATAAAGTCTCTGATTTGCGGTTGACGGATGCCTTTGCGTAGCAATGAAGATATCATATGTACGTTTGGGTACGTTGGGTGGAAGAGTAGTTTGTTCTTTGTATAAAAACAATATATTTCAAGTATTGCCGAAATATCGAATAAAAGTTTATTTTTGTTGATGTTTTTTAATACTTTTGCCTACTATTTTGACGACCTTAAGATGTTCCTTCAATGTGACCGCGAAATTATCGATAACGATAAAAAAGCCAAATGTCTCCTTATTCTTATTGGCGCTATACTTTAAACTTTGGCGCCATCTTTACAACAATTCTTTATCTACAATTCTATGATAGTATTCCGTTTAAGACTCGGGTAACTATGGACAAAGATATGACCATCAAGACCCTCCAGTCTTGAAAATTTGACGAAAATTCTAAGAAATAATTTATTCTCAGATTTGGATGCAGATCGATGAGGAATCGATCTACTTTTCGTTTAAGGTAGTCCGTTTGAGAATCTGATGGATAATGGCCAAGATATGGCCATCGCCGTGGGCCATATTGTGCACCTCATGCATTTTCCATAATTTTGAAGAGAACCGCCCAGAAAATTTGACAAAAAATCTAAAAAATATTTTGTTGTCAGATTTTGATGCAGATCGATGAGGAATCGATCTACTTTTCGTTTAAGGTACTCCGTTTGAGAATCTGATGGATATTGGCCAAGATATGGCGATCGCCGTGGGCCATATTGTGCACCCCATGCATTTTCCCTAATTTTGAAGGGGACCGCCCAGAAAATTTGACAAAAAATCTCAAAAATATTTCGTTGTCAGATTTTGATGCAGATCGATGAGGAATCGATCTACTTTTCGTTTAAGGTACTCCGTTTGAGAATCTGATGGATAATGGCCAAGATATGGCCATCGCCGTGGGCCATATTGTGCACCCCATGCATTTTCCATAATTTTGAAGGGGACCGCCCAGAAAATTTGACAAAAAATCTAAAAAATATTTTGTTGTCAGATTTTGATGCAGATCGATGAGGAATCGATCTACTTTTCGTTTAAGGTACTCCGTTTGAGAATCTGATGGATATTGGCCAAGATATGGCGATCGCCGTGGGCCATATTGTGCACCCCATGCATTTTCCCTAATTTTGAAGGGGACCGCCCAGAAAATTTGACAAAAAATCTCAAAAATATTTCGTTGTCAGATTTTGATGCAGATCGATGAGGAATCGATCTACTTTTCGTTTAAGGTACTCCGTTTGAGAATCTGAAGGATATTGGCCAAGATATGGCCATCGCCGTGGGCCATATTGTGCACCCCATGCATTTTCCATAATTTTGAAGGGGACCGCCCAGAAAATTTGACAAAAAATCTAAAAAATATTTTGTTGTCAGATTTTGATGCAGACTGATTAAGAATAATTTAAAAAAATTAATTAGAATTTAAAAATATATAATAGTTGTAATTGAAGGGATTTTTTAGTGGGTTTTGGTGGCCAGAGTTTGCGGGAAGTGACTCGCGGCATCTGGCCACATTGTTCTATCACCCTGCACATGCTGCACATTTAAAAATAAACATTAAAATAATTTACCAAATTATTTTATTACTTGAAATAATTGTAAATCACTGAAATGGCCTATGTTGCTTTAAGCGAGGCTGAGAAAACTTTCATTTTACATGGCGTTGAGGTAATTTCTTTTTCCTCCGGGAAAGCACTTCTGGATTAAGATAGTAAATAATGAAGAATTATTTAACAGGAAGATTTTCGATGCGACGGCCGTTCTCGCCGGGATTACAGACCAATGGAACTAGAGACAGGAGTCGTTAGTAATGCGAGCGGATCAGCACGTCTTCGACTGGCCAACACGGACATCCTAGTAGGCGTGAAAACAGAGATCGATGTACCTAGCCCGCTGGCGCCCGACTATGGAAAGCTAGAGTTTTTTGTTGATTGGTAATGGATTCGAAAAGATGATTTTAAAGTCACAGACTAAATTCACAATATATATTTCAGTTCGGCGAATGCCACTCCGGAGTTTGAGGGCCGAGGAGGATCGGATCTTGCCCAGGAACTGATATTGTCCCTTCAGAACGCTTACGAGTCACCATTGGCCTTTGATTATCGCTCCTTGTGCCTTATCCCAGGTCAGCAATGCTGGAAACTTTACATAGACATTTTGGTAAGGAACTTTGCATTATTTAGGGCCTTCCTAATAGATTGTTGCTTTTTGAAGGTACTAGAATGTGGAGGGAATTTACATGATGCAGTATCGCTGGCTGCCAAAGCTGCGCTCTTTAACACAAAGCTACCACGGGTAACTGCCACCCTCCTAGACGCCGGTATCACAGATCTAATTATATCTGATAATCCATACGACTGCACCCGCATTGGAATCGAAACGGCGCCTCTTCTGGTAACCGTTTGCAAGATAGGGGACTACTGCCTCGTAGATCCGACAGCAGAAGAAGAGGGGTGCAGCACGGTAAGCATTGTTGTTTCAGTCTCAATGCGCAATGGCGAACCGTACTTGTCGGGCACTCATATGACTGGCGGAGGTTCTATGCACCGAGACACTATGCAAAATTGTCTTCAGCTTGGGTTATCCATTGGCGAGCAGCTAAATACGCTGCTTACCAAAATGCTGAAGCAGGAACAAGACCGCGTCGGGCCCAAGCGACCCAAGACGGTTGGATTTCTAAAATAAACATTCCTTACTGGATTGCTATGAAAATTTACTATTTACTCAAGCTAACTGACTTCCGAGCTTATGGCTCTATTTAGGCTTAATGCTAAACACTGCTTGCGACTTGGCTAGCTACTGATCTTTGCGTTTCTTCGTTTGTCTGGCAGCGGGTACTGGTTTCTTCTCTTTGGGCTCTGGCTGTTTGCCGGTCAACAGAGAGGTCAGCATTTCGCTAATCTCGGGCATGTCGTTGCCCATCTAGTAAAGGGAAAACCAAATTAAAAATTTGGAAAAACAAGTGATGGATATGATTACCTTAGGGAACTGCAGGTTATCAATCTCCTTCTTGGTCTCAGGATCATTGATCATCTTGGGCAGCACCAGCATGAGTACAAGAGGAAGTACCATCATTAAAACCATTGGGCTGAAGAGGAAGTCGGTGATCTAAAATCCAGTAAAATAAGTAATATTCAACAATTGTTTTAATATGGCACTTGCCTTCCATTGCTCCCTGGTTTGGAAATACTTAAACGGCATCAGCGGCTTCATTCGCAGAGGATATGGTACTTGCATGATCTGGGCCGGTTGGACATAGTTCACTTTACGTGCACGGAACTTTCCTTTGGGATTGATTTCCACGCGGACCTGCAAAAGAATACAATTGATGGAAAGCTCCTCAGGGAGTTTCTATAACTTACAGGTTCATAGAACACGTCAGGGTGATGGACATCTAGTATATAGCTGCCCGAAGGTACTCCACTGATGATGAACTGGCCATCCTCACGGACAAATCCCTTGAATTCGCCGTCATTAATAGTGATAGATACATCTGTTTGCCATTTGGATGTCTCCTTGCTCATGGGAGCACCCCTGCTCCCCGGTGAACCTTGGCCAGGCGGAAAAATGGAATCTGGCGGGGCTACCCTGCCTTCAATGGTGTAAAGCCCAGAGACCTCATCTACTAGCTCGTCCTGGCCAATGATCACTTCACTGGCCCCTAAATAAATAAGAGCCGCAAAAATAATAAACTTTAGGCACATTTTTGGATCAATTGGAATTTTTTCTTTTCATTAGCAGTAATGTGACCATTTGGAAAATTATGAATAATCCACAAAGCGTTATAAAGGGTTTTGTGTTACGCGGCAAATTCAAAAGTGAATCAGATGATTGATTTATTAAAACTATTTTTACAAAACAAACGAAATATAATATTGAAAAAATTTTAATTTGTAGTTTTCGATTTTAAAAAATATCAAAATTTAACAAGAATATATTTTTATGTTGGCAACACTGGTGAAGACCTCCAATCGGAGCTTTAAGGGGGGAAGCCCAAATTTAATCTTGAAAAAATTTAACAGGTTGCAGTAAAAAATAAATTTAAAAACTAATTGTCAGCTATTTTTAAAAAAATATCTATAATTGTTCGATAGACCATTTTACAGAGCAAAAAGAATTTGCATAAAATACGCATTTTTCAGTGGGTTACTTGGCTGCCCCCCCTTAACTTTTTTACTCGTTGGCGCCTCGAACGCCAACGTAGAGCCAGGCAATTCAATTTGAGCCGCCGAATCGAACAAACGTATCTCCGCGTTATAGCGAAAAGGTGATCCGACAGATACGTCTATTTCGAGTTCGGATCTTCAGCGGCAGAATCCGGAGAGCGAACAGCTCTAACGCAGCTCGGATTTTCGAGTTTTGTTATTAACGATTTTAGGTTAGTGCGTGTGCTTTTTGACAAACGAGTTTTCAGTTATTCGCAATTATTAGAGTTCTAGGGCGCAGGTGTGCCAACTGGCCATCGACAGCCCCATGCAATGTGCACTTTGAAAAATCTAAAACTAGCGACGAAAGTAAAACATAAAATTCTCAAGATTAGATGTGGAATTCCGGACCCACAAATCTCTGTTCAAAAAAATTCCTAAGTTGTTGTTTTATTCCACTTGTATGTCGCATGTACAGTGAAACCGGTTTCAGAAATTTTAATGATGCTGTGAGATCACAGAAACCCCCTCTCCTTCCGCGGGCGCACCTTTTTTGAGAGGTTGCATAGACTTATTATTTTTTCGCACAACATTTCAATGGCAAGTCGCAACCAAGACTTCTCTAGTACAATGGAAACCAGTAATTCATTTGGCGGCGGACTCAAATCCAATAAAAATAAAAATAAACAAGTGATGACAATAGTCGCGCCTGCGCGAAGCAGTGATGTAAACAATATGCAGAAGAGTCAAAAGGCGTAAAAAGAAGACAGTGAAAACTAAGTAAAGTGAACTCAACATAGAAGTAATTTATAAAAAATGTTTACAAAAAGTTGTTACCATTCTTACATGTAAATGACAACAATTACTCAACGTGCATACATTTGGATAAAATAATCTCGGGACGTGTCGTAGTCCCAGGTCGGCTTGAGACACTCGCGTCCACAAGTTCATTTCTTACGCAATTAATGCATTTGCTGATAAATCAAGTTGACAGTCACTTTCTACTTCGGTCCGTCCTGCTCTATTAACTTAATAATGGTCGACGGCGACAATTGTCATAGCTTTTGTTTTGGCCTCCGACTGGCCTTTCCTCGAATAGCTTCGCCGATCTGTTTTCCATGATGTAAGCTAATGGCAATTTTATGTTTATATGTGAGCACATACAACCGAATCAATAATCGAGTCGTTAAGGCATTTTCCCGAGGTCTTACCGTGCGCACCTGTTTGTCTCTCAGAGACTTTTAAGTTTTTCGTAGGACTAGGACTTCTAGGACCTTTGATGTTCATAAGGTCCTTAAGCTTCATAAAACTGGACTCCTTTCTTAAGATAATATTAGAACCCTTTTGACACATGCCACTCCAATTCGGACCGACTGTGTAAATTTCGATCAATCTCCTACCGTATGCAAAGCAAGCAAGGAAAGGTCTATGCCCCCCTGGAAAAACAGTCCTTACCCCCCACTGACATGGCCTGAAAAGGCACTAGAGGAGGCGGGGCTAACCCAGTTTACACAGGTGGTGGCACGCGATGTCCGGCAAAGATTGTGCTGCAATGACCAGCAATTGCCATGGCAAGGATCGATTCGTGGAGCACCTTGGAGACACCCCTCCCAGCGGGCGCTTAGGTCAAATGTTAATAAAACGGCGTGGGCTGGAAAATTATACAGAACTGGCTAAACAAGCTTTTAATGACTGATAAGCGGAGAACTTACGTAGGAGAGGGTAGCTATTACTAGTTTTCGACCAGAAATGTGAAGAGCAATCTTATCAATCGAAGTCACATAAAATCTAATGGAATAGTTAGCACCGGAGAACGTAGCGGACGCGTGAAGTGGGTGACTTGGCAAACTTGGCCTGTAAACCTGTAAACAGGCAGAGTCACCTTAGCCAAATTAGTCGGCCGGGGTGTCAGTTACCCCCAGCGAACCACTTACCTTAAAAAATGGCAGACTTGGATACGTTGATCGAAGCAATTAGAGCCGACTTGTCAATTAAGCGGCACACAAAAAAGAAGAAATAAAAAATAAAGTATTTCATATGCACAGACTGATTGTACTTGGCTATATCTGAGTGTTTTTAATCTTCAAAAGCATAGCTTTTTGAAAAAAACCCTACCATTTCATAAGTAACAAGTACAAAATTGTTTTCTGTGCATTTAAAAATGGGCATTTCGAGTAGACACATTCCAATTCAAATTCAAATTGCGATTATTTTTTGTACGAGTTTCGAAAAACTGGCTTTTTAACAAGGGCATGACAACGTCTATATACCAGTATATGCTGGATACAGGTGTACCATATATACATTGTACATACCAGCTTGGACGAGTGTGTGTGTGAGTGTTGACTCCGCCACGAGCATGTTGGAGTCAAGTGCTTGGGCCCACATAATGGCTTATTGTGTTATTGTGGAAAAGTCGCTAAACAGTTTTGTCTCACGTTCGAAAACAACAAAAATATAAATAAAGCCAAGCCCGATTTGAAGCCGCTGCTATATGGAGGCCAATGGCTATATGACTGTGTGTGGGGCGGTGTGCGCGAAAAATTTACTAATGAGCCAAGAATTTAATGAAAAGCATTTAACGGGAAACTTTTCACTATGTCTGACTGGGTCTTTGGCTTGGTTTTCACTTTGCCTTTTGCAGAATGCGAACCATGTTGGCCATGTTCCATGCGGAGATACAGTACGTAGTACACATGTACCTTGACACAGGTCTCGGAGGTGAATGCTTTTAAGATAAATCACTCAAAACCGATAAATTTTGGCTTTCAAGGTCTCTGGGGCGAATGGAAATGTGAACGCCCATTGTGCGGTTCTTATGGCCAAATCAAAAAGCATACAATTGTATGTACTATTTGGCATTTTACAGAAAGGCAAATTAATAAAAAAAAAAACCAGGCAATAAAATAAGGCAAGGTCAGAAGCAATCGCTTTCAAATTCAAGTTCAAATTCGCATTCTGAGCACGACAGATTTAGCTATGAATCCACCAAGCCGGGCTGGCAGATACATATACCTTGATGATTCAGCCAAGCCAGCACATGGGAATATCCAAGACGCATAATGTATTCTGCCCACTCACTTCCTCAATGATCTTGGTCCCGAAATGTGCTGGAAACTCGAAAGCAAAAGTCACTTTCTGAGTCACGGGGAACTGACCTCGTTAATGTGGCAATCACCTTCAAAAACCTAAATATATTTCAAAAGTTATGGGGACCGCGGAATCCCCATCGAATTAAACGATTTTGCGTTTAATTTATAGAAGCTCTCGTTGCTAATTGGTCTAACCGCCTAGCATTTGTGTGATTTATTGTGGTTTTAATTAATTTTGCAATTATAACGAGAATATTACGGATTTGTGATAAGCGATGGGTGGACAGGCAACTGAAAGCCAAACGCTGTTGGGCTGTAGATATGGCCATAGGCCAATTTTTTCGTAATTGGAACCTATTATATAGAGTTTATAGACTCTAATACTGATGATGAACTCTGTTACTGATGAAGTTAAGGCTGGAAAGTATGTGTATAATATTTATAGAATATTTAGCTTTTATGGGCTCGGGTTGGCATGTGGAGGAAATGCCTAACCTACCCACTGTGTTTGGTGACCCTGCTCTTCAGAACCATCGATAGTCTGATAAGTATCTGAAGTATGTAGATGGCCAGATATTATACATTTGCAATTCACTCAGTTTGCACGGGTTCGCTGGAAACTCGACTCTGATAAGCAGGGAAGCAATTATTTATGCCATGGTAATTAAACAGGCACAGACGGCGGAGACAAGATGGAAATGGAAATTACGAATTCAGAGTCAAATGCGAGGGGGAAACTAGGGTCGGGGGCGGAAGCCATGGGACACGGTTCGCTTCTGATCACCCAATGCTGATGATTCCACAATGTCTGCTCTCGACAGGTGCTCCCCCTTATCCGGCTCCAACTCCCTGGCTACGATGACGCAGCCGCCGACGATACGGGGCTGGCTGGTGTTGCCAACAGCGCTCTTGCTGGCGCTGGCCACATGGCCTGATTTCAGCCAGAGCCTGCCGCAAGGTGCTCCCGAAACAGTGTGCGACTCGATGCTACCTTTCCACTCCGGCGGCAGTGTCCTGCCCCAGAGCAGCGTTTCACCCTTCAGAGTTGAGACCTCGGCCTCGACAGTCGGCCAGGGACAGACCCTCCGGGTGGATCTTACCGGCGTGCCAGTCGGCTTGAACTTCGGCGGCTACATGATCCAGGCGCGCAACCGCAACCCACCGTACCAAATCGTCGGTCAGTTTGGAGCTGCCCGCGATGGAACCATCAAGCTGATGAATTGCGAAAATTCCGTCAACAACTCCGCCACTCACAGCAATGCAGGACCCAAGCCGCAGGTGCTTCTGGAGTGGCAGTCGCCTGTAGACTTCCTGGGCGAGGTGGTCTTCAAGTAAGTTTAAGGAAACTATGTCGAAAATAGCCCAATTCTGACCCATTCCGTTTCAGCGCCACGGTGGCCCAGTCTTATAGCGAGTTCTGGGTCGGAGTACCGTCCCAGCCCGTTCAAATTGTTCGCCGAGATGTGTCGGCGGTGCCACTGCCCACCCAAGCTCCACCGGCCTCGGCAGGAACTACCCGTCCCCCCTACGTGCCACCCAATTATGTGGCTCCCAACAACGTGGCAGCGGCCAGCGCTGATCCCATCTACAATGGATGCGGACAGAGCAAGAACTGCTTTGGCTTTCCCAACGGATGTGTATCCTCCAAGACGTGTACATCCATCGCAGCTGTGACTGTGCGGGGCGACGTGTATGAATTCGAGATTCAGTCCGGAAAGGGTGAGCCTTCAGGGTTATTCTGGGTTCTATGAATACTAATACTTCTTGGATGTTCAGGAACGAATGCTGCCTATGTGGCTGTTGGCCTGTCTGACGATGAGAGAATGGGTGACGACCTAACCACCGAGTGTGTGCCTGAAAACGGAAGAGTAAACCTGTACTCCTCACTGACTTCTGCGTCTCCCTATGCGGCTGTCAGGTCAAGTGTGGTAAGGGACTTCCGATAAATGGTTTTAACTCAATGAGTTCTCAAGGAATCCCTCTTTTTAGAGCCAAAACTCTGCCCGCCTGCTGGACGCCTCGCTGGTCGACGGAGTCATATACTGCCGGGTTCAGCGCGATGCTCAGACCACCGTGCAGGGACGAAGCTTTGACCTGCGCAATGGAAAGTACCACCTGTTGGTGGCCTCCGGAAGGAGCTTGAAGGAGAACAGCGTTGGCTATCACGACATTGGACGCTTGCCCTCGGCTAAGGCCATCAATCTGGCGGAAGTACAGGATCTGGAGGGATCCAGCAAGCTGTTGGTTCAGCTCCACGGTGCCTTCATGATTGCTGCCTGGATCGGCACCACATCATTGGGTATTATCTTTGCCCGCTACTTTAAGCAAACATGGGTGGGCAGCCAGAGCTGCGGCAAGGATCAGTGGTTCGTCTGGCATCGTCTGCTCATGGTGACCACCTGGTCGCTCACCATTGCCGCCTATGTGCTCATCTGGGTGGAGTTGAAGCGTGCCGTTTGGCATGCACATTCGATAATTGGCCTAATCACCGTGATCCTTTGCTTCATTCAACCCATTGGAGCCCTGTTCAGGCCAGGACCGAACGACAAGAAGCGGCCGTACTTCAACTGGGGACATTGGCTGGGTGGAAACCTTGCGCACATCTTGGGCAGTAAGTTGTTCCTTCCTCTGGACATTGGTCAGAATATATAAATGTACTCTCTTTTCAGTTGTCACCATTTTCTTTTCGGTGAAGCTCCCTAAAGCCGAGCTGCCGGAATGGATGGACTGGATCTTGGTCAGCTTCGTAGTGGTACACGTTTTGGTTCACCTTGTTTTCTCCGTAAGTCCTTCAGTATGGGGTTCGAATGTGATCCCTATTCATGCTAACCCAAAGAGTATAGAGCGTAGTCCCCTCATCGCTTGCCTGTATCATTATTGACCGGAAAATACCATTTCTCGTTACTAATTCATTTGCCATCATCCATCATCCTCCCGAGAACTTGTGGCTACGTCCCTTAACGTGTAGATTGGTCTTTGTTTGAATCATTGGCAGGTGGCGGGTATGGCCTCGGAGCGTCACCAGAGCCAGCGAGCCAACACGTTCCAGATGGGCGACATGTCGCATCACCATCAGCATGCCATGCGGAATGGAATGAGCATGGAACGCAAGATGGATGCTCCGGTAAGTAATGATTATATCCAATAGTCTTTGGTCTAATTAATTGGTTGTTCTATTTCCAGTATGGAGCCATGCGCAAGGGTCTCTTGGGAGTGTATGCCGTAGTTCTGGCGCTATTTGTTGTGGTGTTGATTCTGTTGGTTGTGCTGGCGCCGATCGAACAATTCTTGGGAAAGTCATAGGCGCCTCTTGATCGCTTTCGTACACCTGTCGTACGTTTTGTATAATCTGTCCGCCCCCGCTCCAATACTCCTGTACCAGTCTAGGGTTTTTATCATTTAACAATTTTTGTTTAAAGCCTTTCCCCTCCAGTCACAGCGACTTTAAAAACCCGTGTTGTGTTGTTATGTGTAATTATGCGCAAAGTGTAACCTACAGCGGAGCGCTCAGTACATGTTATATAATTTATTATTAATAAAGTAAAACAAGCCAACATAAATGCAGTAATTTTGTTTATCCTTTCTCCCCTCTGCTATATGTTTATCTCTAGAATCTGGGGCCTGGTGCTACTGCTCTATCTTATTTCGCTGAATCTCCAATATTTATGTTTGTATATAGTTGTATAAAACCTTTTAGCTCTTACATGCCGTAATCTGTATCAGATGTCATTATCTTTATATGAATGTATGGGTTTAGGTGTGGCTGCTATAAGAGTGTGCTTGGGAGTTCTGTGTTCGCGCTTTTTCTAAACTTTTCGCTTGTCTCGTTAAATTAATTAATAGTTCTTCAATAAAACTCAAACATTTTTCAAATAATGCGACAAGAACTGAAACCAATTAAACGAAAACTGCCTAAAATTAAGGTGGTGTGATGGGCGGGATGGAACGAAATCATCGCTCTTCCAAGAACACAGTTTCCTGCGGATACAGCTTAAGGGCCTCAAGTGTCTGGCCGGACTCCATGGCTGTGAGATCGCGGCGTGGCCAGCTTAACAGTTTGTACTCTTCAATTAGGAATCCGTTGGCGGTCACAAAGTTCAGTAGATCCTGCATAAAATATATTTTATGAAATATTGAAGATTACTTTCATTTAATTAACAATCATACCTGGAGGTTGTTGCTCTTCAAAAAGCGGCGTTCCAAAAATTCGCCTGATGGCTTCCGCACGCGTATCTTGGCAGTGCCTGTCGTCTGTTCGGCCGGCTCCTGAGGTAGGGATTGTTGAGCCTGAAATAGCAAGAAGCAATTAGTCTCTAGATAAGGAAAATCTTTGAGTAAATCATCCAACTTACAATTAATCTGATGGACTCGCGCCTGGCATCCTCCTCGGCACGTTCAGATTCGAGGCGCTTTCTTTCGGCCGCTTGGGCCGCCTCTCTTTGGCGCTTCGCCGCGTCCTTAGCCCTGTCGGCCTGCAGGGTTGCTTCGTAAGCCATGTCCTGCTCAGCCTTAACCTGGTCACGAGCAGCCCGCTCGTCGTCCTGCCGGATCTCTCCTTGCAGCTGCTCCTCGAACCGCTCACATGTTCCAATCAGCCTCGTCAGCAATTCATCCAAGTCAATGTTGCCTACGAAAGAGAGTGTTACAATTATTCTGCATATATTTCGACTTTATTTGGCTTACCAGGAATCACAGAAAGCACCCCGCAGCTGCTGCCCAATTCACGGCTCTTACCCACTAGCATGATAGCTGGCAGCTTGTCCAGCCCTATGTTTCGGGCCATAAGCGAAGCATTGCTGCTGATGCAGGCAGTCAGCGAGGAAAGGAACCTTGGGATTACATTAATTAATAAAATAAGAACCCAAGTAACTGTTTAGTTTATATTACATATCCTTATTACTCTCGAAGGTCAAGTCCCAGCCGAAGAGCACAAATTTCTCCATGAATGTTTGAATAATGGTCTCATTTTTCATCAGCTGATCACAGAAAACGTTGGTCAAAATGCTTTTGCCATGATGCAAGTAAATGGCCAAAAGTTTACGCTGAAAGTTGAAAAGGGAATGTATAAAATAGGATCTTATGCTAAGTAAACATTTTCAGAGCTTACTTCCTTTGCTGGCTTATAGCAGGCCATCTGCAGGGCACTTTCTAGGCTTCCTACAAAGAAGTAGGGACAAGGCTCTCCATATCGCGCCACATAGTTCTCTACGAACTGAGAGGAACCGCTCATCTCGTCGTCTGTGTTGTTTGGTACTGAAAGTGGCAAATACTTGCAACTAAATGCATTTAAAATTCCATTAACTGAGCTTACTTAAGTGTATGTTAAGTGGCTGAGCAGGCGGAGAGTCTGTAAAATTGAAGTCAGTCGCATCCTCGAACTCATCTGTGGAACTTTCGCTGTCTACGTTGACGATATCGTAGCTATTATTTTGTTGCTGGTTTGAATTGCTATGGGAGGCAATTGTAGGCGCAAGGTTGCGTACTCCAAAGCTATGGGTGAGATCTATTCCAGATCGCTAAGGGAACAGCACACAAAAAAAGGAGCTTAGTTTTTTAAGGACATGGATATCATTAATAGTTTACAGCTTACCGCTAGGGTGGTGTCGTTGTCACAGCCTCTGGGCCAGCCAGTCCACTCTTGGTGACGAACGGGTATGCTCTTTATATCGTCCACGTGCATCTTCAGCTGCAGCATGGTTGTGTTCCCAGGAAGACTGAGTTCGAGTGGACTTCCCGACTCGAATTGGATATGGATGGAAAAAGTCTTGTCCGCACGCTGTGTTACCTCATCCCTATAAGAAATTTCTCATTATTCTTTCAACGGCTACCACTTTTTTAATAACACTTACTGCTCAGTGTCCATGTATCCATCATCGGTGAGATCCACTAGAGACAGTTCGTTTTCCTGTGCCAGATCTAAATTTCCGAGCCTCGAACTGGGCTGCTGGGCTTCGCTTGCCTTGGACGGAGGCCAGCCTTGAATGGCCTGCCGGCAGACTGGAACTCTGGTTTTCTCAAAAATGCAGCGCTTGAGTTGTTCTAAATAGAAATTCGATTTTTATTAGTATTACTAATGGTTGTTAGGGTAACTACTCACCTATGGTAGCCTGTGGAGGCAAGCGAATCTGGCAGATCTGCTGGTTGAAGTGAATATTGAACAGAACCAATTCCTGATTGTTCTGGTTATTGTTCTGGCTGGCTACCGGGTCAAGATTGATGCTCGACGTTAGCTGGGCTAGCAATTGTGATGCTATAGTAGGATATGGTTTCAAATCAAGGCTTATGCAATTATGCTCTATCTCGTTAAGCTTACTAGGAAATCTCTGCGGGATGTTGAGGTTCTGGCGCTCGGAGGCGAAGAAGCCACCACTCGAAGTCCCAGGCAGTTCGTCGTATCCAGGTGGCCGGAAACCATTGGTGTTCTCCGCCAATGCAGGCTGCGACTGATGTATAGCGCTGGCAAGGGATGGATCCTCGTGGGGCATCACCCGGCTCAGTGCATCCTATACACGGAAAAGAAAAACAATGGATTGAAAAGTGCATGAAAGTTAGAAGACGACGCATGAGTGAAGAACAAAGGAACGAACCATAAGATTCCAGTTGACGGCCTCCAGATGGGAGAAGGCTTCGCCGACATCGTCAATGCCTGTGATGTTCTAAAATACACATAGTATAAAACAAAATAGTACTCATATTAGTACGAAAAAGAGTTTATTCCCAGAAAGTCACCCATACACGAACAATACGCATCAATGTGCGCAGCGAATCTTGCTGAGTTCTCTGTTTATGCTGGGCATTTATGGATGGCCTTACCTGAAAACTGGCGAGTGTTTCTTCCTTGTTCTCCGACATTGGACACGTTTGGTGTTTCTCAACTTAACCGACAAACCTGTGTTTAGCTCTATGGATTTTCACTACAAAATTACACAAAGAAAAGGTGTTTTTCGACTTAAGTTAAAATAACCAATCGACCGAGCTGGTCCCATTAATGTGACTTACAAGATGGGCAGTGTTGGAAAGCGTCTAGATGGCATCAAGCAATTTTTGTTGCGGGTAACTGGGTTTTCAAAGCAGCTTCGTAAATTGTTTTCATTTATTTTTTTGGGTTTTCTGTTTCAACTAAAATTTTGGACGATTTCTAACGACAAATTATCAATTGGTAGGCATGTTATGACCGAATACGCAAATAAATTTGGCATCAAAGTTGTGAAATCACAAATCTATTAGACTAGTTACTAAAATATGTATTTTAAATTTAAAAAAATGATGCAAAAGCAAGCTTTTATTAAGGAAGTATATAATATTTGTCAAGCTTCTAATTTAAAAAAATATATCGATAATATATTTTTTGTCACATCAAAACATCGGTATGAACGATAACATTATTAGCGCCAACTTTCAAATGATTGAACCAAACTTTTCATGAATGTGTTTATGAATCTTCTTAAATCTTAATATCATCAAACTTTAAACAGTTTTTTAAGTTTCATTCACTATGGGCTGCATTTTTAAAACTCTTTTAACCTTATTTTCTGTCATTTTTATTTAGTGATAGGCATTAGTCAGTAATTATTATTTTTTAGTGGATTTATAAAAAAAAGGATGAATGTCATGGGTATGGGTGAGTTTTTCAATCAGCTTAATGGAAATCAGCTGCAAATTTTGATTAATTTCCCGCAGAGACAAATAAATAAAGGACGACTTTCCCACGCGCCCAAAACAAATGCGGCTCAATTAATCTTCATGAAGCTGGGAAATCAAAGACGCAGTCCGATGTCACTTCGATGTGGACAGAATAAACCGGCAGAGTAGAAGCCTCCGGTATCTTCAAGCGACAACATGTTGCTCTTTGGCCTAAAGTTCTCCCTGATTCTCATTCTAGGTCCTGGTTTGGTGGTCCTTGAGTTTGTGGCTGCGGAAAAATCTGGCCGGGAATTGCCCGATCGCATCGACAGACTACTCGATGGACTATCCTGTGTTCCCAAACTAAGTGCCAGTTCTTCCTTTGCCATACTGCTGGCTCAGTTCTTGATAAAACGTGAGCCTAATGAACCGTAAACCGCGATACGGATGACGGATGTGCATATTTATTTGTTTTTCAGAAAAACTACGCTATGTGGCCCCAACCCGATACGAACGGCAGCTATATTACCATCTACTCCACAGGATGGAGCTTATCAGGGAGCGATCTGACTGGTCTGGAGTGTACGGAGACAGTCAGTAATTTATATCGAAATATAAAGCAGAGTAAAAGTATATATCTTTTTACCAGTTCTCAGCAGTGTTTTCCAAAGGAATATGCTGCTCTTACCCCCAACTCTCAAGTGGGGCGAGTTGAATGCTAATGGGGAGTACGAGCAACTGGCTGAGGTCTATCCGAAAGTGGTGAACGAGGGGCAGTTGAATGAAACCCTATCGGGTGAGTGGCTCTCAAGAGAATTCATCAAGAAATTAAAGATAACATGATTTAGATTTATGTCTACGGGAGATTGTAATGCTGGAGCCCCCAAACTGTAAGGGTATTTCTTCAAGCTGCCTGGAAATGCTCAACAGCGATGCCCCTGCCTACGGCTACCAAAGGACCCACCAGTAAGTAACACCAAGTTTCATACAAAGCTTGAACTGAACCATGAGGACTGGTTAGGGTACTACTGCTTTACGTGCTGCAGCATCAGGTGTGTGCGCCCCACCTCAGTCCACCCCAGGTGTATGGGCTTCTGGCGAGAAGCCACTGCGATGAGGTAGAGCGCGAGCAGAATGCTATCCGAAGCCTGGGTCTGCCCTCCTCTTATCGTGATCTGTATTTGGAGCAAGGTGAGCTTGTGTGGCATTCCACTACCACTGTGGCATATCCTTTGACTTTTTAAGCATTCCACAGCCACCGTCTGCGGGCTGTTTGGCTATAATGAGTTTGTCAATTGGCGCAACGTAATGGAAATTGGCAGCTGGCTGGAGGAGGACACCAATGCTGACAGTCAGCACATAAGCGATCTTGCTCTGGTCTTCTATGTGAACTCCTTGCTTCTGCTGCATTAAATTATGAATCCCCTCACATAGTTCCGCTTCATAAGTTAATAAATTTCCGCTTATTGCTTTTATTTTGCGCCAGCGTCGATTCCAGCACACTTTTGTTATTGAACTGCACTGGGCTTGGTCTCGGGCTGGGCTTGAGGACGGAAGGAAGGAAACATTTGTAATGTGACATATTACTTGCGCTTGGCTGCCCGACTGATGGATATGCAGCCGGGGCGACGACAGCGACAGCGACAGCGACACTTTCCATTACAAAATGCTCACACTGAAGTGGAATACTAATATTTGCCAGGATATTAATGCCTCATTTGATGCAAGCCGATGGGTAGGATGTGTGTGTCTGCCACGATGGGGGGGAATGCACCCGCTAAGCCAGAGGAAAAAGAAACACACAAAGAAAAGGGTTACTTTTTTTTTAGAAAAAGGTTTTTTAAGCTTGATTTTTGAAATATTTTTCAGGATTTGAATAATATTTATTTTCCTTATATAACATTTTTTTAATATTATTTAAAGAAACATAAAAAAAGACAACCAAGCCAAAACATTTTGAAAGGTTGTTGGGCATACACATGTGTCATCCCCTACAGTGTGCATGTCATCCCCTTTGTCGGGGGTCATGAATAGCGCTGGGTCATTAGTAACGTTGACTTGTCAATGCAACAACAATGCCACAGCCCTTACAAGTGTCGGTTACCTGGGTGGGGAGTGGGCGGTCTGAGGTCAGACCTGGACAGTCCTGCTCCTGCCTTCTATGCCTCCTTTTTTTTTCTGGCGGACAAACAACCCTTCAGCAACCCTTGCAACTTGATCAGCTGACTTACTGGTACTGTCAGCCAGCCCTCCCATCTCCACCCTGCCGTACTTGTGTTGTGTTTTTTCCACGCGTGTGTCGTCGAGTTCATTATGGGCTTATGTCCTTTAAAGTGTCGGTAGCACTCCGTAGGTGTTTATTATGCTGTTAAATGGCTGGCAGCACAACAACAAGCTGTTGTCTAACATTCGGAGCTCTCCGGAGCCAGGTCCTTGCATACCACTGGGGGTTACTTTCTCCGACGCATGCGTTGGAACTGAGAGAGAACACCTGTAAATAGTGAATGGGAGAGATGACAATGTTGACTTACAGGATTGTCAAGTCTTTGGTGGGGAATAATTAAAAAAACAAATATTATTTATTTTAATTGATTTTAAGGATGGACATTATCTTAGGGTAGTAATCTAACAAATAAGGATATCCCATGGTTAAGATATAAGAACTCTTCTTTCTTGCAAGTAAAGAATTTCTAAAAGCTCTTCGAACCTTCTCTGGTAACCCTGGCTGGAAAGCTAACAGCGAGAATTGAATTGGCGCCCCTGCTTTCTCCTGCTGAGGTCCTTTCTCATACGCTCAGTAGTCCACCGTCAATTAGAGTGTAAAAACGTTACGCTCCCCATGATAACGAACGGAAAACGGAATCGCCTGAGCCCCAGAAGGAATCCGTATCCGTCGCCGCCGTCTGATATCCGCTTGCAGGATACAACAAAAATATTGCATATACATATATATACACACAGCCGCACAACGATGCTCGACAACGAATCCGATAAAGCTGAAAACTAACCAAATTCCCAAATAATTGTATGCGAGTACGGGTATTCGGATTGAAAATTTACAAGTGCAATGTGAAAGTCAGCTTATACGACAGCTGAATGTCCTGCCACTGTCTGTATGCGCGAGTGTCCTGCCAGTGAGTGTGTGTGTGTGTTACTGTGCGTGTGTGCGTGAAAGTAAATACCACGAAACTCACTGAACGCCGAAAAATAAACCAGCAGAATCGGGGGCAGTAGTGGGTGGCGAAGAAAGCAGAAATCAACGAAGGAGTCGCAGAGCTACATTATTTGGCCGGAGGCATCCCTAGCAAGAAGAAGAAGAGAAAATCCAGAGCAAGAAACGTAAGGATTTGTTTTTGTATTCTGTGTAGTGTATTATTATGCGATTAGTTTATTGAGAAAAAGGGTTTTGTGTTTTATATTATAAATAAATACAAGGGTCTATAATAATCGATGTGGTAAGCTATAGTACCACCCATAATCGAGTCGAGTGTCCTTCCAGGATAGTCATCTTGAAAACAAAACAAGGCTGCTTTGCTTTTTTATGTCCTGCGATTTTGGGTCAAACTAAAGTTTCAGTGCTGATGTTGGTAATTACCAGTTCGTTCACATCGGGAGCAGTTCAAAAGTCTCGGGGAGTTCCCCCCTTTTCAACGGGAATTTTTCCCATCTCCTTTCCCCACCCGCCATCCCGCCAACGCTGCCAGTTTCGCGAAAAAGCACACGCACACAGACGTCACTCTCGGCTACCCTCCAGCTGCTGGTATACGCGTGTATGATCCTTGGTGTGTGTTTGTGTGTGTGTGTTTACCTTTGTTTTAGTCCTCGGGAGCTAAGAAAATTGCTTTGCCATTGCTGTGGCAGCGCCTGCCTGCCAGCCAGCCTGCCTGCCTGTCCTTTGTTGTTGTCCTGGCAAGGAACGCGGTCTTTGGCAGCTTTCAAGCGAAATACGCACCTGCGAATTTGCCATAAATTAGATCCCGGACCCGCATGTCGAAGGATATATGTATTTAGTGCGATGCTGTCTAAGCACTTAAAGCCCTGGCAGGATAACAAAAAAGCGCCAAATCTCAAGGCTGCTACAGTGATTGCTGGCAGGGGGAGATAAATAGTTAGTTGGGAAGTCATGTTTAGGCATTTTTTTGTACAAAATATTTGTAAAAACTATTCCAATACTCTTGACCATTTGAATCCTGCGGTTCCTGTGTCGAGGTCACTCATCGGCTGGTCTGATGGTGGCAAAGACATGCCCCACTGTGGGCTCTCAGTTGTCTCTTGGCTGTCATTCCGGCCCAGTACGGGAGTCCAAAGTCTGGCATGCGTGAATCGAGTTGATTCCCTGTCCCTGCCCCAGCCTGTGGTCTCCGCCAACCCCCAAATATCCCGCCCCGCATTGTTTTTGTGTGTATTTTGTGGTTGCTGGCCACCCAATTGGCTCTCTACGGATTTTGTGCTCTATTTACCTGCCTTATAAAACACAATTTATTGCTGCCCCAACGGTTGCCTTTGTGTGTTTGTATTGCTGCCTCCAGATTCAGCTTCAGCTTCAGTTTCAGCTTCTGTTTTTGGTTTCTGTTTCCACTTTTTCTTTTATTGCATTAGCCATTGTATTCTTTTTCTGCTTTAGTTTCTCCACTTTGTTTTGTTTTATTCGAACTTAATTTTTTTGATTCGGCTTTTTGGGGTTTTGTGGCCTGGGGACTTCCCCTTATTGGCTTTCTGTACAAAGTTTTTTGCGTGACATCAACCGCAGGAATAGAAGTCCTGCCCTGCTCTTTGGCCTTGTTTGGCTTTTGAATCAATAAACCAGCCATGGAATCGAGAGCATCTTTTAAATAATTGAAACGAACCGCAGTAGCGGAGGGATATTTCTGGAAAGCTACTTAGCTTGTAGTCCTTCAAAAGATACTCTTTTTGTGCGTTGAAATGCAAATAGTTTGCCAACATATCGACCCGAATAAAAACTTCATCATTTGATATGGTCACGTTTCCAGTGGGGTGAACAAACTTTTTAATTTTCGATCCGAAAAGTAAAAACTTCTCAATGGACGACGGCGTCCGAGGAGTTTCAGAGAAAAGCTTGGAAAACTATCAGAAGTCACAAATCAACTATGAAAAGCTACTTCCTCCAGATGAGCTCTTAATTGTGCAATTAAATCACTGCCACTTGAGCATCCGTTTTTGTCCATTAGCCGGCTAATTTGGTTGATAAAAGGATCTCCCATTAATCTCGATACTGGTGCGTTCTAATTAGTTTCTGAGGTCGTCCTGCCACACACATATTTTCCACCCAAATGAGCACTCGGTTTTGAGCCTCTACGCTTACCTGAATAATGAGTTTTCCTGATGAACGCCCCTCGCCTAGCCCCCGCCCCCACACTACGTGTGTGGCATGCATTTCACCCGCAAAGGCTTCCAAAAAGGAGCGGGGAAGTCCCCGAAAAACAAACTGTGCACGGATGGGCGACAGGCTTCAGCATTCTACATAGCTGGCCATTCGGAGGCGTCCTACCGGAAAGAAATGCCATTAAAAACGCAATAAAAATGCAGAAAATACAACAAAAAGGGTAGCGCCGAAAGGATGGGTGGCAGGGGGAGCGGAAACACAAAATCCCGAATGAAAGAAATGCGAAAATGTACCGTAGAGAGTGCGCATACAAACGCAAAAAAAAGAAGTGTGTGGGTAGTATGTCAACTGCTCTACTCTGCATGGCTGTATGTGTGTTGGTGTGTCTGTGTGTAGCGTGCGGCGAGTCTGTTGATGTGTGGGTGTCCCTGTGTGCCTCTGTGTGTGTAAATAGCCAAGGTGGAAAAATCGATATAAATGAATATGGCAACATTTGGTCGCCCCCATCTTAAAGAAAACCCCAACTGACTCCACTTGAGACACTGCAGAATGGTAATGGGTTTTTAGCCCTTACGTCAAACTTGTATAAAAAAAAAAAGGGAATGGAAAGTTTTGTACGCACATCCAGCGCGTTCTTTTCCACCCACAGTTGCCTGCCCCCAAACGCGGGAGGCGGGGCAGAGTTGGAGGCACCACTCGAGGCCGTAGGCAGTCAGCGCCACATCAAGCAAAGCCATATGAAAATTGCCATAAAAATATGTAGCACGCGAAAAGGAGATTCCAACAGCAAGTCCTTGCATACACTGAGAGAAAACTTTGCCCCAGCATTCGAACAAATAAGAGAAGAGAAAAAAGTGAAAACAGAAGAGCAATCACGGGGTGGATCCATTGAGGCTGCAATGTTTGCCCCAGTAAGTGTGCTACACTTTTCTCGAGAACGGGTTAAGTGCCGTGCCACAGAAACGAAAGTACCACCGCCTTGTTTCTCGCGACTCAGAGACTCTACTTATTTTTATATCGAATGGTTAGGGACTCAACCTAAGCCTTCCACCAAACTAGATACTTTTATGTATCACTTTTAGTCGGGTTTTTGGTGGATGGATGCATTGTATCGAGACTGTGGCAAGCTCATATTGATTT